TTCTTCTTCTTCTTCTTCTTCCCTATCCTTTCTGGTTTCTGGTTTTGTCCTTTTTGTTTTTTCTTGATTGTTCTTATTTTTATAGGAGCTTGAATACACTTTCTAGTTTTCTTATTGCTGTTAGTTTGTTCTGTTCTTATTTTTCTTTCTTCCTTCTCTCTTTTCCTCTGTCTTCACCACTTTCCCAAAGTTCACATGATCGTCCTCTGTCCTCTAGCCTTGCTTCTAACCTTTCCCTCTCCTATTTCTCTACTTACCCCCTATATTCCTTCTAAGTCTTCTTCCTGGAGGGAAATTTGCCATATCAAAGGGCTTATTTACTGCAAACATATTTCTGGTTGATTCTAGATTTTGATATATAACCACAAATCTGATTCATGAGGTTAAAGGTGGCAGATTAATAGTTACCACAGTTTGTCATTTTCTAGGTTGTGTTTGATGCTATTGTCTTTGCTGATTATATTACTTAGGCTAAGGTGACGTGATTGTTCTAGGCAGTTGTCCTTCCTGGTATACCAAGACTGAGATTACCTAAGGTCATTACAAACTCAAAAACCAAAACAAAGACCACCTACACCTGGAAGACACCTCTGAAAAATAGTCATTCCCCAAGGGTTCTAAATACTAGAAATAAAGATACTCACAATAAGTAATATACAAGCATCAACACAGGAATTAAACCAAAAACATCAAGAACAAAAAAATAGAAATGAGAAGACACTTAAATAAGATGTAAACCCGGACTTCCAGCTCACCAAAGGCAAATCCAGGGGCCAGTGAGGTGGAACAATCTGAAAATCAACCACTGGAACTCCCTAAACTAGTAGCAAGGGAAGTAACAAAACAGATGAAAGAGGCTCTGGAAAAAATCAAATCAGAAATAATTTCTCAGATAACAACAAAGTTGGTGACCATAATGAAAGACATGATTAATAACTCTAAAAGAGATGATTAAAAAAAAAAAAAAAAGAGGAGCTGAGGAAAATGATGGAAAACATGAATATCCAGCATAGGAAAGAAATGGAAAATATGAAACACATCCAAGCAGATATCCAAGTGATTAAAAATTCCATTGAAAGTTTCCACAGCAAAATAAGTGAATGTGAGGACAGAATTTCAGATATAGAAGACAGGATTATGGTTAGCAAATAAAAAAGAAAGATTGCTTAAAAATAGCAAGGGACCATGAAAAATCAAATCAATAGCTACTAGATGATGCAAAAACCCCCAAAAAACTTAAGATTGACTAGAGTAAATGAAATAGTAGGAGAGAGAAATCAGAGAAAGACCCAACCAAAAAGAGAACTACAGGCCAATCTTCCTAATGAACACAGATGCAAAAATCCTCAATAATTTACTGGCAAATAGAATGCAGAGGATCGTCAAGATCATACAACCTCATCAAGTGGGATTCATCCCAGGGATGCAGGGATGGTTCAAAATATGTAAATCAATAAATGTAATATACTATATTAACAGAATCTACCTTCTGCCTCCACTCTGACTCAGCCGCCTCCTGTGTTTCTCACCCTTCCATTCTGCCTGGCTTCCTCTGAACGTGTGGAATGTGGGGCAAGGTAGTGTGCATCCAGCTCTGAGCTGGGCATGCTCTGTTAAACAGGGGAGCATTTCATACTGCGACACATTGGCCCTGGGAGTGGGGAAAGTGTTTTAGCACATCATCAACTGTTTGTTCCCTGGAATGCTACATAAAATAAGGAATTTTTTTGTGATGCATTGGTTTTAGTGAGGACTGTATGTACATGGGTACTGACTACAAGTGAACATTCATCTGACAGGAAGCTGGGTGACGCAGCTCACGGAAGCCCTGGTGCTTAAGCAAAAGAGTGTGTCCCCAGGCATTGGTTGCACAGACTACCCCAAAAGCCCCTTGCCTTCTTCTCCCCTGTCCCCTGGGGTCCTGCATTCCCATTCCTGGATGCGAGCTGAGTATGAGTCTCCTTGGCTCCTTTCAATGATGACCTCTAAGCCTTTCTTCTCTCAAGTGTTTCTAGAAGAGAGAAAAGAAAACACAATAAAATTATATGTCAGTTAACTTCTAGAAGCCAGGCCAAGGTGTCAGGCAGTTTGTTTCTGGGCTGTGCTTTCTTCTTCTGGGTATGCGGTTGGCTGCTTCTCACTGTGTCCTCGAGTGGCTTCTCCTCTTGGCCAGTGCACGGAGTGTGGGGAGGCCCTCAAGTGTCTTCTTCCTCTTAGCTGGACATCAAGTCTATCAGATGAGGGCTCCACCCTTATGACCTAGAGAGCCCCTAGTTACCTTCCAAAGGCCCCACCTCCAAGCCTAGTTACACTGGGGCTCAGGACTTTGATTCGTGAATTGGAGGGGGATGTAGTTCAGGTCACAACACTGGCTAAGGCCCAGTGACCTCTTCTCTAAAGTAAGCAAGAGACTCTTCCCAGAAAATGGGCCTTTAGGAACCTTGAGATAGAAACAGAAGGTGCAAGCAGGCCTGACCTGGACAGGAGCCCTCATTCTACTGGACATCCAAAGCCTACTGGTGCATCCAAAGCCACAACATGCCTCATCCTGAAGCATATCCATGCAAATTTTATAACACACACACATACACCACACACACACAGATTTTCCCCACTCCTTCTGGTCCATCTTGGCTCCTACAAGTCCCAGTGAAATCACCAACCACCCCACAGCCCACTGCCAGAATCCCATCTTCACCTTGTGCTGCAGCCTCTCATACTTCTCCGTCGCTTGTGACAGCTCCTCTTCCAGCTCCAAAGCTTGGTCCCTTAGCTGTTCTGCAAGCTCAGTGCTTTCTTTATCCTCCAGTGCCTTCAGCTTCTCCCAGAGATTGAAAACATCCAAGCCAAGGGACAGGACACCCACCACACCACTCTGCAGTAGAGCTTTTTGGGACATGGTCAGTGGTGTCAACTTAAAGGCCTTCTTCACGTGTCTGCCAACTGACCCTGAGATGCGGCCAGCGGTTCGAAAATGTTTGGCTGCAGGGACCAAATGTGGGTGGGCTTTAGCTAGCCTAAGGGCACGGGTATGGTTCCTGATAACCTCAAAGGTGCTCCCACACTTGTACACTAACTCTCCAGAAGCTCGGACATAAGGTGCACTCTGTCCTCCAGTACCCTCTTGGCATGCTCTGTCCCTAGAGGGTGCTAGGTGGCTGCAGTGAATGCGGGTGTCTTCAGTGTGAGAGTTTTCCAACAAATCGGTCACAATACTAATGACCGAGGCTGTTAACCGCACACCTTGGCCAGCAGCTGTAAATATCAGGCTTCCTCCTGCTGTTACTGGAGTTAGGGCTAAACCCAGCATGCTCAGGACTCCAGAGACAATGGTGATGGAGTTGGCCACCACGTTGGCCTTGGTGAAATTTTTGTGGGCTGTGTCAGTGACATCTGCAAGGGCACGGAGCTTTGCAATGACCACTTTTTGCTCCTGTTTCCACCTGGGAAACTCTTCCAGAAATCTTATTTCTTCAGCAGACAGATCTCCACCATCTTGTAGTCCCAAGTCTGTACCCAGAGGCATGTTGTCCTCCTCCCTGGGGAAATGAGTGAAATAAGGACTTGATTTCAGCTTCTCAGATGGAAAAGTCTGACCCTTCAACTGGCCCATGGGGCTTCTGGATGTTTTGTCAATACCAACTTTGAACCTTACCTGATTTCCCCTACAATGTCCCGCAAAAAGCTCTGAATGTCACTGATAGCTTCAGTCTTCCCAGGAGGCTCCTGGTTCCCTGAATAAAGAAAGGTGTAATAACAGTGGCATGTGATCAGGACCATTTGAGGAAGCTCAACCCTGGCTAAAGACAAGGGCCAGGCAGATTTGTCCTGAAGGATGTTTCTAGGCTTCTCAGGAGGAACAAGAGCACTGTTAAGGTGGAGAGCACTGGGGAAATGCTAAGATCATGTTCAAGAGAAGGAATATGCAAAAAAAAAAAAAAAAAAGAACACGGGACCCATGGAAGGAGACATCTGGAAAGCACACAAGGAAGACAAGGCCAGGTATTGGGCAGGGTGTGGTGGTCCTACATGTCGAGGTAAGTCAGGGGGAGGATGGGGCCAGATTGTACAAAACATTCCACTTCAAGACCTTGGCTTTGGCTCCTATGGTTGTGCCTTCCTTTTTCTGAGGAGGTGCCCACTGAGAGATCAAGATTCTGACTCATATTCTGAATTCTCCTGGGCACTTGGCCACCTTCCTGTGGCACAGCAGGCAGGATTGGTCCTTCATGGAAGGGCCCAGCCCTGCCTCCCCTAGCATTTCTCAGGACAGAATGTTAAGGGTTCTTTGCCAGTCTGGTTAAGTTTGGCCTTCCAGTGTCTGGAAGAGCAAAGCTGTCTCTTTGGGACACATTGCCCTGCCAAGTGAGATGTATTTCCTGCAGGGTGAATGGCAGACACTGGTGACACACAGGTGTCCCAGCCCAAAGATGGAGATGGGGCCTGGAGGGGATCTGAGTCACCTTCTTCACTTGTCAGTGGAGGGACCCAAAGACGAAAGGTGATCCACCCGGAAGGACACATGAGTTCACAATGGACCTTTTACAGGGGAACAGCCTCACAATGTCCAGGGCTTTGTGCCGTTCCTCTCCCATGCCTGCTGATATCAGAGTCCCTCAGTGAAGGACAGTTGTGTCTCAGTATCCCCAGAGATGGGGTCCAGCACCCCCTGCAGATACCAAAATCAGGTTGCTCCAGTCCTTCACAAAAAATGGCATAATTCTGCTTATAATCTGTGTATGTTCACCCATATAAATCACTTATAGATTATTTATGGCACCTAAAACAATGTAAATGCCACATAAATAGTTGAGCCTAAGTATATAGCACATGCTCTATAGTGAGCTGTGTCACAAATGTAGAATATAAGGTACTGAGTGCTGAGCACATATGTAGATTTAGAAATACATTTATCTTCTCATAAATCTGCCTCTCTCATCATATACACACACAAATATACAATTCTTCAATGAAAGAGGTTAAAAATCAAGTACTATGAAAGTCTTTTAATTTAATAAATATGGCCCAGTCATCAGTCAAAGAGCAGACGTAAATTAGTTCACAGAGCAGAAGGTTCACTGGGGTTTCAGAGGAGCAGGGGAAGTGTGAGGGCAAGGAGGTGACCCTGTGAGGGGCCCTAAACTGTACAGATGTCACAGTCTTCTCAGCCTGGTCCCTGTGTTCCCTCCAGGTGTATAAGGACAGAAAGAACAAGTAGCAGTGTCGCTGAGAGCATCAACTACGCCCCTGTGCATTTGTGCTAAGGTTCCATTTTTGAGGTGGTTCATAGCTAACGGAAGCTTGATTAAGCTCCATAAGGCTTGGGTGCCTTAATTAAACCTAATATCCCAAATGGGGCTGTGTTGGGCAGCCAGGTCTCCTTGCTTAGGATGAGGCCATAATGCAGCTCTGAAACAATGCACATGGAGTTCACTGATTCACCACATTAGCAATCCCTTGTTGCTTGCCCACATAATGCTGGGTGCTGCTGGTAGTTTGTCTGCTGATTAATGAACTCTTGGCTTTAAATTCATTAATTTTTAAATGCTAAAGAGCTTCTTTGGTGGTATCTGAGCCAAAAGGAATTCCTACTTTCTTCAGCCTCACAGCGGGGGAGGCCCCAGATTGGGCAGTTTCTCTCCTTGGAGTCCTGTGCACACCGTGCCATGGAAATGGCTAAAACTTGACTTGCTCCTTAAAATATTTAGTTAAGTCTCATGGAATATTCTTCCCCCCTGAGAAAACCTATGTTTATGTTCATAACAATAACAAAAATTAGTTAGAAGACAAGTGGGGCTGGGGATTTAGCTCAGTGGTTTCACCATCTGCTGCACTATTGCAAGGACCCGAGTTCAATCCCTGGTACCAAAAAAAAAACAACCCCAAAAACAAAAACAGAAGACAAGTCTGCTTCACAGTGAATGCTACTGCAGCACATTTATTCCTAATCATGAGGATGTCTGCAGCCTTTTCTTAAGGACAAAATCCTGGATTTACCTTTCCCAACCAACCCTGGTCTTGCATTCTTACCCAACTTGGCTATCTGACTGCCTCTCAAGCTTCAAATCCATGTCTCCAGGAACCACATGGTCTTCTAGTTGAAAAATAGAAAACAGTTACCGCACATGTCATAAAATCTTGTTAAGTCCAAATGTTGACAGATTTTAGATAATGTAGAAATCACAATGAAACACACAATGCACTAATTATTTGAAATTGTTGTTTTAAAATTTCATGTTGAGGTAGAGCTCATGTATAGTAAATGTACACCATGAAGGTTTCAGCTCTATAAATTTTGGTATCTATATTGGAGAGTAACAGAATATACCACCCCTAAATATGCCACTCTGGCATGAGGGTTATTTTGAGCTGAGAGCAAATGAGAAGTAATACAGTAGTCTCCACTTTAAGATCCCAAAGAGTTGCTGAGACCAAGGATATTCAAGGTCATATTACATGACTAATGGGCAGGTAGTATATATAGTGTGGAAATACTGGACAAAGGATGATTCGTGTTCCAGGCGGGACAGAGCGGATCTATGTAAGATATCAGACTATTCAGAACGGTGCTCAATTTAAAACTTGTTAATTATCTGGAAATTTCCATTTAATATTTTTGGGACAAAGTTCACCATAGGAAGCTGAAACCACAAAATCAAAAGTGAAGATAAGGAGGAACAACTCTATACACAATAACCACTAATCAGATCCGGATTACCTCCTTCCCACTAGTATACTCACCCTACCCGAGAGATGATCAGGCCTCTGCCTTTTGTAACCTTTGATTAATTTGCTTATTCTCAAACTTCATATAAATAGTCATTGGCTTGGCATTTCTACCTCCAGATAATCTCTTTGAAATTCACCCATGTTGTGGTTTTTAAATTATCTATATGTAACATTTAATAAATATATTTCAAGTGGGTTATAATGTATATTCCTCTGTCAATGTATTTGAGTTGTGTCAAGTCATTGCCTGTTGTGAATAAATTGACTATAATGATTGAAGTTTATTTTCACATGACAAGTCCATATTTATGAGTACTGTACAAATTATATTCCCAAGGACATATTATTTCTGATTTTGTGATTTGTAATGTTAAGTAAAAATCACAGAAGCCCATGGTTTTATACTAAGCTCCTACATTTGGCTCCAACAGGCCAGATTAAACCTAAACTGTCACCTGATCTTTGGAAAAGGAGAGAGAAAGAGAGAGAGAGAGAGAGAGGGAGGGGAGAGGGGCCAAGTTTTCCACAAAAGCCAAATTTATTCAGCCTGATGATCAAGTTCCTACTGACTTAATCCTTGCCCAAAAAAGTCACCTGCAGTAACCATATGTTAGCTGGTTATTTTCCTGTTGTTCTGGCTTACAAGGAAAGTGACTGGGAAGTGACCCATTGCTCTCTGTGCTTCGTTTCTACTTCCTTCACCCTTTCTCTGTCTGTACAACCCACCTCCTGTGCTTGGCTCCTTGCAATATTGCTCTGTTTAATGGACTGAAATGTCACCCAATTCTAAAGGAAGAAACAAAAACATATAATTTATTTTTGTTGTTTTGATGCTTGTTTGTTTGTTTGTTTTTGCTGTACCGAGGATCCTTATGAAGCCAATGAGCTACATCCCAGTCCCCATAATTTCTTAAAATTAAATTTGTCAAGGCTTTTGAAAGGAAATATGTTTGGTCCTCTTATGTATTCTTGGCATAGACGTCCTAAAACCCTTGGAATTTCTTAAGTGATAAGGGCACTGAAGGTAAAAAGACTTTCATATGCTTTTCTTCACAACTGCCCAAATGAAGGGACATTGATAGTAAGGGCAGAAGAGTGTCAGGTTAACCAACACTGACTTCTAGGGACTAAGATCAGCTCAGAACTGACCTAATCCCTAGTGGCTGCTGACTGAGTCAGTCATGCCTATGTAATGAACCCTCCATAAAAATCTAAAAGGACCAGGCCAGGAGAGCATCAGAGTCACTGACACGTGGCTGTGCCTGGGCAACCCCACTTGCAGAGAGCCAGAAAGCTATAATGAGCCAAAATAAAGTGTTTCTGGGGGTTGTGAGAGCCATTCTTGCAATTATGGAACTTCAGGAGGATGCTGTGAAACCACCAGTTCATAGTTATGTTGTCACAAATCCAGGGATTGTGACTTCGTGACTGGTGTCCTAGTGGGACAGTCTTGTGGACCTAGTTATCCACAGACAGACAGTGTCAGAACTGAGATAAGTGGCAGGATGCCCAGGTGGTTCCTAATGAGAAGTGGAGAATGCTTGGTATGGGGAACAAAACAAGAGAAAACAAAAACACAAAAACCCCCTGCAGGATTTTGCGAAGAACTGGTAGACCCAAATACTGAGTGGAGTGGTTGAATAGTGAAGAGGCAGATATTTTCCTTATATTTTGGGAGTTGCAGAGGCCCTGTCTGAGCATCTGTGGGGGCCCTGAGATTCATCCCCGGATCTACTTGCCTAGCAGTGAGACCTGGACCCAGGGATGGAGGAGGTGCTGTGTCTGCCTAGTGAAAGGACACATTTATTGATTGATTTATTGATTGATTAATTGATTGATTATACAAAGATCCCATCCCTTGCAGGAGTATTAGTCCACTTTCAGGGGAGGGGTGTTTTCTAATATGTCCCTTGGCGTTGCTATGGCTTGAATGTGGTTTGCCTCCTCTAAAACTCATGCTGGACTTTAATCTCCATTGTGAGGTATTAAGAAGGTGGACACTTAATCGATGTGTTCTTTAGAGGTGGGGCCATTGGGAGGAGGTTAGGATTGGATAAGGTCAGCAGGATGGGGCTCTATGATTGGATCCTAATAGCTAAGAAGAGGGAGTTGAGGAGGGTCACACACGTGTGCTCCCTGCCTCTGGCTGTGTGGTGGCCTATGTCACCTTGGGACTGTGCCAGGTATGTCCCCTTCACCGTGGAACTCAAGAACTGTGGGTCAAGATAAACCTCTTTTCTTTAAAACTTCCCCAGTGTGTGGCACTGTGTTGTTATCCACAGAAACTGAGCTAACACAGGCTCGAGGCAGGCTGGCAGTGGCCCTGACCTACTTTAAAAATGATTATTCTGGCTGAAAAATGGTCTGGATATTTATGTATCAGAAAAGAAACATTTGCATTCCTTACTATGAAGATAACACAATGTGCCAGTGGTGATTTGTTTTGTTTTGTTTTTTTGGTACCGGGGATCAAACTCAGGACGTTGCACTGGCGAGGCAAGCATGGACTCACTGAGCTAAATCCCCAACCCTATTCATGGTGATTGAAATTATGGTGAATATTTAAATTTTCGAAATCTTATTACTTTAAAAGACACACAGCTGAGAAAGATGACAGAAGTGTGTTTGAAGCAATGGGAAGTATTTTGAGTATTTGAGGGGATATTAATATCAATGTGTCTTTTACTGTAATAATTCTGTTATGTAGATATTCCCCATGTTTTGATCACCAATTGTGGGTCAAACGTTTATGGCAATTTCTGTTGAATATTGACATTATCGTATATCCTCATCCATTTTATTCACCACATCTGGCATGGTATAACTTACGGCTCTTTTCCAAAGTGAAAATGATGATGAAAGGTAAAATTCTGAATCAATTCAGTACATTGAGTTATTGAGAGTTCAATTTAAGACATTTGCAAAAGACGAATTCCAGAGCTGCTTCAGAAAGTGATAAGAATTATGGGTTAAGTGTATTGGAAGAAAGGGAGAGCATTTTGAGATGATTAATGATACTGTTTTTAGCTTAATTTTGAAAGATTTAAATAATCACTATATGTATTGATCACAGCTTATATTTCTGTGATGAAATGTAGGTAAGGTTTTTCTCTCCACTGACAAGCAGGTCTCTAATAGACATCAATGGATTTTCCTCTATCAACTCAATTCTGACACAGTCTATTTGGAGATAGTGTTAAATCCCACAGGCTAAGGGTTCGGTCCCTTAAAACTGTAGTACTTCAGATGCCAATGGAAAATCCAAATCCCTGGAACTCCTGATGAACAGCCTACAAATTGGGGTCCATAGCAGTCTCTTATCAGTTAATCTGGCACAACAGCTCACAGAACTAAGGGGAACACTCTACTTAGGTATAGTGATTTGCTATGAGGAAAATGAGGAAGGAAACAGTTGAACAGCTGGATGGAGAGGTGCACAGGGCACAGTGCACCCTTGTGTTCCACCCTCCGGGGACCTCCTTGTGCTCAGCTAGCTGTCTAGAAGCTTTCTAAACCCCAGAACTCACGGATCTTTATGGAGGCTGTATCACATCAGCTTGATTATTAATCTATTTACCTTCAGCCTCTCTCTACTTCCCAGAGAATGAGGGAGTCAGGTGGAGGTGAAAGTTCCAAGTTTATAATGATTCCTTGGTCTTTCTGGTGACCACCTCAACCAGGAGCCCACCACAGAGCTGCCTCATTGGAACAAAAGATGCTCCCTCTTCCCAGGAAATTCCAGGAGACAAAGAGCTCAGTGTCAGATGCTCCTATCATGCAGAAACTTACAAATATTCTGGGAGTTCTGTTTTGGAAACTGAGTTCAAAGATCAAATATTAGAAAAAAAAAGATCAAATATTAGAACAAAACAACCTTCTAGTGCTCTTATCAACAAGGGTGTTAGAAGCTCTATGTCAGAGATTGAGGGCAGATTCCAGTATGTATAGTTCTTATTATTTCAAAATTGCATGTGAGGAAGCAGGGGGACAAGTTAGGAATATGGGAGTCACTGGAGCAAGCAGAGTGGCAGCTTGGACCAGGTGACCAGAGTGACAGGAAGTGCAGGAACCCACAGATTTCCCTAGTGGATGTGGGGTGTGAGTCGGAGATTCAAGGATGACTTCATGCTCTGAGACCCAACAAACTGTCACAGAGAAGATCCCTGTACTGGTATGGGAAGGGCCCAGGGTCTTAGGCACGTTGTGTGTGACAAAGCTTTGAATAAGATAGGTTGAGTGATATAGAGTAGGCAGTGGGTAAATGAGTTCCATTCTTCTGGAGATTGAAATTGGGAGCTGTCAGTGTAGGAAGCAGTTAAAGCCATGCACTGATTGAGAGCCTTAGGGAAAGACTAACAACAGCAGCATAACTAAGTCCAAGTCAGGAGCCTTGGAGCACCCAACAGTTAGAGCTCAGCAAGAGAAGGAGGAGGCTGTGGAGCAGCTCAGAATCGTATTGTAGAATCCAAAGAAATGCTTGTATATGATGGACACATCTTTGTGGCCTAATTCTTTTCTCACGTGTGCATGGCATGTGGATGGCACCTTGTGTGTGCTAGGCTACTGGTCTACCACTATGCTACAGCCCCCAACCATATCCTTCTATTTTTTTTGAAATCTGGGCCATTTTGCCTCCCATGTTTTCTCCTACCAGTGCAAAGGCATCACTATATTCTGCTTTACCTGGCTGTAAACTGGCTGGATAGGAGCAAAGACCGTCTCGGCGGACTGGAGATGTCTCTGTTGGGACATTCAGAGGGGTGTCTCTGTTCTTCTCCACGTTCAGACTGGCCAGCTGTCCTGGGTGGGAAAAAAGGCTGTCAGACCTCCCAGCAGGGCAAAACAGACCTTCTCATTAGCCTCGGCAGAGCACAGTGAAGTGGATTCAAAGCCTCTCTCTACCACTCACCAGTTGTGCTCTGTTTAGAAATTTAACCCACAGATAAAAGTTTCTCTGCTTATTTCTATGAAATAACCAGGAAAACTGTCACACAGTTTCTGTGTCTTCACAATTACTAAAGGACAGAAAAAAGTTTTCCAGAAAGGATAAGCAGTCTGATTGGTTTGTAAACCAAGGAACTTTTCCCAACAGAGGCACATGAAAGGGTGATGTTCTTGCCAGGCTTCCCACATAGGGAGCAGGACTGAGACCCTTCCCAAGCTCACAGAGTCCCCAACTACTAGGGTTTGAGGAGCATTTCCCTGAAGATGATTTTTTTTTCTAAAGCAGGCACCTGGAGCCAACCCTTGGGCACCTCATCCTTCTGGAGCCCAGCAGCAGCCTTCCCTCCCTTACCTGCTGTCTCTCCTTGTCCTGGCTGTGAGGGAGAGAAGACCAACCATTGTCTCTGTCTTCACCTCTAGAAGGGTGTAGTGTCTGGCCGGGGGCTGTGAGTGGCTGGCTGCTCAGGGACTGAGGCCAGAGCAGCTGGGAAGTCTCCGCCCTTGCCCAGGGGAAAACCCAGTGCATCCTGGCAGCACAAACAGAAATAGATTGCTAAATCGGGTCTGGCTGACTGCTGCAGGCACAGGACAGCAGGTACATGTGGCTTCCAGGAAGACACAGGCTTGTTGAGAAATGGCTGTGCTTTCTACTTTCTGTTTTGCTTTTCTCCAGGAGAAGCACAGGGAAGTGGGAGAGCAGACTCAAGGCCAGAATTTCACAGAGCACTGTGATGCATACCTGTAACCCCAACTACACGGGAGGCTGAGGCAGGAGGATTGTGAGGCCAGCTTGGGCAACTTCGGGAGACCCGTCTCAAAAGGAGAAATAATTTTAGAAAGGACAGGGGATATAGCTCAGTGATAAATCACCCTTAAGTTAAGCCTTATTACTGTAAAACAAAACAAACAAAAAAGCCAGAGGCCTAAGTCTCCCTTTCTCCTTCCCAGCTGTACGACAGGCACATAACAGGTGGTTAGTGATGTCCAGGAGGCCACTGAGAGCCACAGGGCTATGATCAGCCAGTCCCCAACTCTGGGGAGGAAGAGGTATTTGTCTGTTGATTTGGGGAAAGGCAGTGTCCCATGGGAGAAGGCTTGGGTAGGTTCCTGAGTGGGCTGGTAAAAGAATTTACCAATGGACAAGGAATGGAGAAAAGACAAGAGATTATTTGGGGTATTGTTTGCTGCCCAGGGAAACTGTGAGCAAGTCTCCAAGCCAGAGATTGAGCAGTCAGGGTGAGAGGTTGGGATTTTTATGAGAGTTTGAGGATATGGAACAAAGGTCTAGGCAGCGATGTGACTATCTAGAGAATGTCTTTTTCTTGGGTTATTGAGCATTTTGTAGATTTTCTTTGAACACCCACCCATATTATGTTTACTATTATGCTTACTGTGGCAATGTTGACAAGAAGACTTCATCATGCCTTTAGCATTAGATAAGAAGGCCATAAGGAGGCCTATACATGCTTTTTAGATAGTATGGGTGGATGTGCTCGCTTCTGCAGCACATACACTAGATAGGATGAGTGGAGGCTGTCTGGGTGAATGCATGGACTTCACTTCTAAAGGTTGGTTGCTATTCTGTGACCAACTGCTGAAAATGGGAAGACTTGAACCAGAGTCCTCTGTTGCCAGATGGGTTTATCCAGAGTTCAGCTGTTAAGGGTGTGAAACCCTTTATTGCCAGTGGGAAATCAATACAGGGTAGAACTGTATACATCACAGCTCTTTTTTCTCAACCTTCCCTAGGATGTGCCACATTTAAGAGAGCACAGGTTTGACTCTGCTCCTCCAACGTGTAGGTGCTGCAGGACAGGCCCTGGGGTGGAGTGACCTGCAATCACCCAGCAGGCCTGCCCCTGGGAAGGACTACTGCCCACCTATATAGAAAAATGTTCCTAAATACATGGACTTATGGAAAAATGTTTTATTCTGTTAATAATCAAAGTAATACTTTGATCTCCTTCGACCAAATTCTCATATCTCTTTTTGGGTTGTTGAGGAGGTCAGAAACTTGGAAACCCATACCGTGTCAAATTTAAATTACAAAAGAATCCTGCAAGATTGGGTTGCCTGAGCCTAAATGCAGACCTTTGGCTTTGGTGACATAACTTATACGAAGTCTGAAACTTAGGGGACACAAACCTGGGTGGCCTTGTATTCCTGGGCAGTGGCTTTAAATAGAGCCATGTTTGTTTGTTTACAGGCATAAGTTTTAAGTTGATTCTAGCCCCTTTGGCCTTAGTTATCATGGGTAGCTGAGGCAATGCATCATTACAAGAAAAAAACAATTCTGAAGATCTTTTAGGGAACATTTTCCCCCTCCTTTTTCAGCTTTTTGGCCAGGGCTACATTCAGCAACTTCAAACTACGAACAATGTCAGTAATGTTCCACATTAGCTGCTGGGAACAAGAGTGCACAGAGACCACCTTTAAGTTGTTGGTGACTCTTAACTAAGGAAGTAAAAGATCTAGTTATGAAAAATATACATTAATTAAAAAGATGAAAGATGACAGATGGAAAGATATCCTGCCTTTATATATTACAAGTTTTATTGTTTAGAATGATAGTATTGTGGTGGATAGGGTGGAATATGAACTTGATTGATTTGAGAGATGCCCAGGGTTTGGTGGAACACATTTCCAGGTGTCTAGGATAGTCATGGTTATACACCCTTGGGGTCTCTGTGAGGTCCCTCATCCCTTCCTTTCTGCATTGTTCCCCTTCCCTACTTCTCAGCCACCATAAACTCTCTTCTACCATGATGTTTCTGCCTTGGAGATTGGTGACCATGTACTTAATCCCTGGAAACTGTGAACCAAATTAAGCCTCTCTTCTTTCATTTTTTTTATTTTTTATTTTTTTGGTACCAGAGATCGAACTCGGGTCCTTGTGCTTGCACAACAGGCGGCGAAACTACTGAGCTAAATCCCCGGCCCAAGCCTCTCTTCTTTTAAATTATGGGTGTCAGGTATGGGGTCCCACTGATAGAAACCTGACCTAAAAGAGAAAATTGATACCAACAGTGAGATGGAGCCCAATCACGCTGTGACTGAACCTGGTTATGTGGTTCAAAAGCCTTTAAAAGTGTTTTGTGGGAAGAGTTTGGAAAGATTTGGAGATGTGGGATAGACAAGCCCTAGAATTTTCTAACTAGAGCCTGATGAGTGATTCCAGCCAGAGCTCAGAAGGACAGAATGCTGGCAGGAATGCAGACAATAAAGGCTAGGCTCGGGAGGTTTGGATTGGGAGTAAGGGCTCCATGGTAGTTGGACAAGAGGCCATGTGTGTTGTGCTCTGGCAGAAAATTTGTCTATATTTTTTCCAAGTCCTGTGGTTTTGTAAGAGACTAAGGGAGATGGACTAATTAATCTGGCAGAAGAAATCACAAGACAGCCCAACATTCAGGCTGTGGCAACAGTAGTGCTGGATGATTACAGTCATATTTTGTTTGAGAACTGGGGGCAAAGGGCAGAACAGAAAACATTTTCAAATATTAAATTTTAGCCCAGAAGTAACCATGTGTTAATTTGGGGCCAAAGTAGGTATGGCTGCTGAAAAGGTCAACATCATTTAAAAAAACCAAATATTTTCTACAGGGACAAGCAGAAAGATGCCTTGAGGCCATCTCAAGAATCAGTAAGACTCCAAATGACGCAGGGTCAAGGACAGAAACATGGCAATCTTTCATTTGAGAAGAGAGTGCCTGGGACCTTTGCTGATGAAGAGCTTCCCAGGGAACTGATATCCTGGGATTCATTTCACTATGATTAGCCATCTATACACTCAGGGGCCACTGCAGTCATAGTCCAAGGAGGCCTGGCTACTGCTTTCACTGACAGCAGACATTGGCATCACCCTTGTAATATTGGTTTTATGGGTATGTGCAATGCAGGAGTTTCGGGCTAAGAGAGACCACTGCCAGAATTTGGAGAAAAGCTGGAGAAGCCAGGCTAGGAGCCTCTGAGATGGCAGTGGGTGAAGGCGTGAAAAGGTAGTAAAATGTGCAGTGGAGATCACAGGAAGGCAGAGGTATCAGGAGCATGGAATGTCTACTGAAGAAAAGTGTAGCCCAGGAGTGGAACCAGCCCTGAAAGGACGGCCAAATGGGCCGCCATCTGTAAGGACACAGGGGTGGGGGGCATCCATACCCCTGGACTCAAATCTCACAGCCATGTGTCCTGGATGCTGGATATGGAACTACAGGATTTAAGATTTGACCTGCTGGTTTTCATCTTGCTTTGGTCAAATTCTTTTTCAACCCCTATTTCTCACTTTTGGAATGGGAATGTTGATTCTGTGGTGCCATGCCTTGGGATTATGTAATGTGTTTTATTTTTACAGGTAATAACAGCTAAGAGTCTCCCTTGAATTTCAGAAGAGGCTTTGATTTAAGCTTTCCAGAAATGCTGAAACTGTTTAACTTTGGGGGAAGGAATTGTGTTTTCAGTTGTGAAACAGAATTATGAACTTGCTAATGACTTTAGGCAGACTAAGTATGGTTTACGGAGATGTCTTTGTTGACAAGGGGTTGGATATAGTGGTTAGGGTGGAGTGTTAGCTTATTGAGTTTGGGATCATTCTGCTGGATAGATGGAGCACATTTCTGGATGTGTCTGGATGGCCATGACTCTCACTCCTTCCTCTCTGGCATGGTTCCTCTGCTCTGCTACCTAGACACCAAGAACGACGAAGCTTTTATTTTCCATTCCCTTTCATCATGATGTTTCTGCCTTGGAGCTTGCTGGCCATGTATTAAATACCTGGAAATGATGAGCCAAATGAAACCTCTCCTCATTAAATTGCGGATTCCAAGCATTGTGTCTCAGCAACAAGAAAGCTGACTAATACAATGCCCAATGAGATTTATAGATTTAATGTGATCCCTGTCAAAATCCCAATAAGGCTTGGCATGATGGGACCTGCCACTGTAATCCCTGCTACTCAGGAAGCTGAGGCAGAAGGATCACTAGTTTCAGGACAGCATAGGCAAATTAATGATAGCCTGTTTCAAATTTTAAAAGAAAAACTGGCTGAGAGATTAACTTAGTGGTAGAGTGCTTGCCTGGCACGCATAAGACTCTGTGTTCAAACTCCAGTGCCAACAAAACAAACAAGAACAAGGCAACCACAACAAGTCCATTGATGTTTGTTTGCAGAAATATAAAATTACATCTTATAGTAGATGTGATAGTTAAGTGATTTTGTCAGTTTCTGTAAGAAACACCCTTATAAATTGGATCAGCAATTCTGAGTATGGCTGAGGGAATTTACTGAAGACAGAAGACCCACCCTAGGGAAGATTGTGCCCTGAATGGCATAAAGAGGAAATGAAGAAGGAAGGCCCACTTCAGCTTCTCTGGAGGAGCTCCAGTCTTCACCTTCACATTGATTGTAGTCTCTTGGCTTCCAATGCAGACTTTTCTGCTTCTAGCATGGACCCTTCAGCCTCCTGATACAGATTCCC